TTTCAACAGTTTGTTGTAGCAATTATATTATTACTATATAAAACATTTAAAAGAATGATATAAGTCACTCATCATGTTACTACCCTGACACACTATATTGTTTCAGTATTATAGTTAATAAAGGTAAGGTATATAATTGTTTTATATGTGTATATATTTAAAATCATAGAACTGTACCATTTTTATTTACATAACGTTATATCATGTATATTTTTCTACACTACTGCGTGGTTTTCATAGTGATCACTGTCTCCCATTATTACATGTACATTAAATTGATGAATGCTAGTTTGGGGGGAGAATGGCTCCAGGAGTCAGCAGCTTGTGGATTTGCCAGCAGAACGGGGCACTATTACTGAGCTGGCTCCAGGAATCATTTCTTTTGGAGAACACTGTAGGAGGGGCACAGCCTGCCTCAGGAGACTTGGTTAGATTTACAGATTTTCCCAGAATCCTTTGTTGGTCCCTTCCAATCCATTCTCTACACAGCAGCTAGAGTGATCTTTTCAAAATACAGGGATTGAGTTTCCTTTACGTAAAATCTTTCAGTGGCTTCTCATGGCTCTTAGGGTGAAGAAAGAAAAAGCTTTAACACTTAGACACCACCTAGTCTGGTCTCTGCTTCCATCTCTAGCTTAAACTCACGGTGCTCCCATTTGTCAGTTTTTTATGGAATAGTTAAACACCTCAAAAAATAAGCCTGTAAAGATGGCACTGCATGCTGAACTATGAAGCCTCCCTGTCATTATAAAATGAAGTTGATCTGTAGAGGCTGTACAATTGATTTCTGCTGCAGTGAGGATGATTGCATGTATGTGCTCTATTGTGGGTCCAAGAACCCACATACCCTATAGCCATGGGTAAGATTATAGGAAGAGATTGCTTGCCTGGAAGAAACTAAGGAGAGTTTCCTGGATTTCTTATGTGAAGTACTTAGAGAGATAGGAGTGTCTAGTACATGCCCAGGATGGTCAAGAAGCTTTCACAAAGAAGTTGCAGGTCCTCCTGCCAAATCCATACCCTCCTCATTGCCACAGCAACCGATAAAACTAAAGAAATAAGAGAAGTTTCTACATAGGACCTTAAAAGAATCTCAACTCTCCTTTGAACTTTTAAACTTTGCCATGCCCCATGCTATACACTAAAAACTGTAACTGAATTAGATTTACATATCAAATAGGATAACAACTTATTTATTTTTTGCCCAATCTATCTCATTGTTCACAAAGACCTGTAGATGGCCCCATGCAAAGATGCCTCTAAACACAAATAAAAGACTAATGCAAATTAGCTTGGAAAAGAAAATCCGTTATCATCTCTCTGAGCTTTCATAGTCAGTCTGCTTTAAGATAACGTTTTTGGAACAGTGATTGAAACTAGTAGATTTTCTGCTACTGAAGTCATTCTTACTACTAAGTAAGTAACTTTTTTAATATTGGGAATCCATTCTAATAATTTTGTTCTTTAACACTTTTATTCTGTTAACAAATTATGTTTGAGCAACAGCTGTGTGCAGGCTGAGACTATGTAAGGTTTGAGAATATAGTCAGACATAGATAGTGTCTGCCATCCGGGAGCTTCTCACCTGGGGGAAGGGCTAAAGCAAGTAAACAAGAAATTATGATACTGGGGATCTTTTAGAAAATAGAGTGCAAAATCTTTGAGAGTTTAAACCTAGAAATAATACATTTCTAATTATTCCAAGTGTGAATTATGAGAGTTCTGTTTATGGCAGCATTATAGTAATAAAGCTGTATTCACTATCTTCAAATGGAAGCCCCTAACAGATGGCCACATACACTGAGGTGCAAAGGTTCTACCTTGCTGACTACACTATGCCTGAGACCAGAGGGCGACTGCCTACGAGAACTGCTTTGCATTTGCCAGGCATTCTCAGGAGGTATTGTCATTTTTCTCCCATATTTCTCATTTTGAGAAGGACACAGCAATAACTTTCCATTCTTTAACTCTTACAGGAGACATGGCGTCATGAACATTGGGCCTCATTGAGAGAGAGCAACAAACTCTGTTTGACCCCTTCTGCTAGAAAACTTAACCTGCATGTGGATGTCATACAAAAGTTGTTATCAATGGTCACTAGTATGGTTCGAACATAGACATTATAACTGTGTTTATCTGCTCAGTTTCTAAGATGGTGGCATGTTTCAAACAGAAGATTGGCAGAGGTGGGATTTTTATGTCACCCAGCAAAGTTAAAAATATTTTCATCCAAATTAAAATTCTAGTTGCTCTATGAACTATCAATTCTGGTTCAAAGATATTTATCCTATAGGTATAAATGATATCTTATGAAGTCTAAAGTGATATGGTTTATGTTTTACAGCACTATGTACAATATGGTTTACAGCACTGTGTGTAATTACAAGAGATCTTAATCCATCTAAATCTCTGTTAATATAGATTTCCATGTAGCCTTTAATAACATTCCATATGTGCTGATAGGGAGTCATCTCCAAGATATATTAAGTGATCAAAGTAAGATGTGGGAAAGTATGTATAGAATGGTACATTTAGGTGAAAAAACTAAATGAATATCTATGGATCTATTTGAAAGTGCATGGTATAGTCTGTAGAAGAATACACTAAAACATTGGTAGGAGTTAGTTGTCTTTGAAGGGGAGACTGTATGACCAGGAGTTGGGGGAAGGAGGGAGATTTACTTTTTATTTTCTTCTCTATTTTTACCTTTTGAATTTGTGCCGGTGTGTGTAGAATGTAATATTTTCCCCAATTCTGCACTCCTGTATTATAGCATTTTATATCCTTATTCTTTGCCATGTGGTTTGTGGCCTCCCAGGTGAAGCAGACCACCTCACCCCACTGTAGTCAGGCTTGGTCACGTGATCTGCATTAGCCAAAGGCATGCTAATAGATGTGAAGCAAGCAGAGGGTTGAATATGCTGGTGTGATTTAGCTGGCCCTCTTGTGCTCTTGCAGTCTCTCGTATAACGAACATAATCCTGATAGCTGCTAGTTCCAGAACAAAGAGACCTGTAGGACAGACCTGGACCCAACGCATAGCTTTGAGCCAAGTCCAGGTGATCTCAGTCTAAAGCAGAGCCACTCTGTGAGCATGAAAAATAAATATTTGCTGTTGTAAGCCATTGAGTTGTTCACAATTGTTTGTTTCACAGCATTGTTGTAGCAATAGCCGAATAAGACATATGCCATAAGAGTTCTCTTAACTGACCTCCACTTAAGCAGATTCTTATATTAACTAATGCCCTTTCTCTCTGTGAACATATTAACTAATGCCCAATGCCTAAATGTTCATCACTAGTGGGCTAATCTAGTACAGCCGCATCCTTCTACTCCTTCCTGTTGAGCTGTATGCTTACTGAGAGTTAGATATTTGTCCTCAGACTTATTTATGCCTGTTCTACTCATTACATCAGTTAAGTTATTTAATGATTTGAGGTTAATTTGATTAAATGTGACTAAAAAAAGAACGTATTGCTTGTATGAAAACTACGTTGTACTCTTTGGAAAAGCTCAATAAAATTTAGTCACTAAAAACTGTGATGAAATTAGGTAGTCTAGTCTTGGTAAATAAAAATTATAAAAATATAGAAAGATTTGCACTTAAAATTGCTTCCCAAGTGCTTTAAAATTCTCATCCCATTTTAAAGACACTAAAACTAAAAGTTAGAAGTAATGAATTACTGATTATTTATTGAAAAGTGACTATGTGGTACCCAACATCCAAAAGACCTTGGTCCTACCTGCAAATACTAGTGAACTAATTTACATTTACTCATTTTAAGTTAAAATAAACTGTTGAAAGTATGTATATGTGTAATTTATTATGATTCCTTGAGGATCATAAACAGTTTTTCATTAATTACATCTTCATAGATAGTACAGGACTTTTCCACATTCACAGCATTCAGGAATACAGGAACTGACATTAAAACTTCATGCTACTCTTGGAACTCTGTACTAAATCCTAGAATCAACGTCTGGCATCATTAAGAGACTGAAATAGAGCAAGACTTTGGATCTTCCTAGTGCCTCCCTTGCTGGTTCTAAATTAGGCTGCTTTAAATGTCACTTGGGTACAAACACAGTAGCATAAATTCAACTTTGATAATGAAGACATAATGGCTGATCAGTTTAGTTTATCTTTAGAGCAAAACAAGAGGGAATTATTTCTCGTGTGTTATAACTTAAGACTGTGGTCTACTGTCAATGAGCTCTAACTTGCTATCAGAAAATTTGATTAATTTAATGTTTTTTCAGACAGTGACCTATAGCAAGTAATTTTAATAATTATTAATCCAGCTTATTCTAGTCATTCCCAATTTTGTCTCCTTTTTTTTTTTTTAGCTTTTAACAGTAAAACAAGCACCTGGAATACTTAAATTATATTAGTTTTCCATTCTGCTGGTTTTTTTCACACTTGATGTGGGTCAGGCCTTATTTGATGGCTTGTTTATAGATAACCATAATGACCATAATGACAATTAGGTCTTAAGGACCTAATTGTGATTTTAAGCAAGCCACAAGATAATAGCCACTCAAAATACATGCCCAAGTGGCTGCCTTGAAAGATCTTTCTCTCTAGGCCAGCACTCCTATGCTTATGTTCAATCCTTTGAAAATGGGGTTGGGGAGCAGGTATCATTTGCATGAAGCCACTATATATATAGGCATACCCTGGATATATTGCAGGATTGATTTCAGACCAATTCAGATAAAGTGAATATCGCAATAAAAAAGTCACACAAATTTTTTGATTTCCCGGTGCAGTATAAAAGTTATATTTACACTATACTGTAGTCTATGAAGTGTGCTATAGCATTATGTCTAAAAAAAAACAATGTACATACCCTAATTAAAAAATACTTTGTTGCTAAAATATGCTAACCATCATCTGAGCCTTCAGCGAGTCATAACTTTTTTGCTTGTGGAGGGTCTTGTGAAAAACGCAGTATCTGCGAAACCCAATAAAATAAAGCACAATAAAATGAGGTATGCCTGTACTTGAAATAGGAAAGAAAGAAGCCTCTTTTAACTCCTCTTCCAAGTGCACATTTAGTAGAGAAGACCTTACTAGGTTACCTTGGATGAAAAAGAGGCCCTAGCCCTGATTGAGAGGAAGAGGTCCTGAGATTTCAGATGTGAAAATTTCCTAGAAAAAGAGCAGCACAGTTGAAATCATTCCTAGTCGGGATGCTGTGACAAGGGAACACCTCAACAACACCAACAGCAACGAGGAGAGGATGCAGGAGTATCCTCACTGCTCTTTAGTATTTTCCCCAAAGTGTCTTAAGGACTTGAGAGCAACTTTTAACTGAAAAGTAGATGTATTGCAGTTAGGGATATGCCTTCATCAAATCTATAATTTTACTATATACCCGTTGAGCAGCGTCGAGGCCCCAGATGAAATCAAAGTGGTTCCAATCTGGCAATAGTTTGAAGTAACGAAGATTCCTGATTTGGAGAAGTGTCCTGGCCACATCCTGGACTGTTACTAGGACATCATGTCCACCAGCCCAAATAGCAGTAGGCACTTTCATGGCAGTCAAGTCATATAGTGGTGGACGACTCTATGGAAGAGAAAGAAAGGGCATTCATGAGAGGAAGTTCCTCGTAGCAACAACTAAATTCAAATAAGTAGAGAGGCTGCCAAATGGGTACCTATTATGACCATAGCTCTGTTAGGCAACGAGGGAAATAGGAAGAAAGCACACAATGGTCCCTATCTTCAAGGAGTTTGTGAGGAGCAAGGCAAGATGGCTAAACAAACATTTGTATACAAAGTAGGGTATGTTAAATGCCATAAAACACTCCCAAAATACAATGGAAGTGAAGACAAAGAAGAAATTATTTCCAACTTGGGGCTTCGCATGAAAAGGAGTCATTTGAAATGACTCTTGAGGTATAGTTGGATTTTGACAGACAGAGATGAGGGTAGGAGGGCTTCCTAGTGGGCAGGAAGAGCTGTGTATGCCATGGAATTGCAAGCTCTCCAGTGTACCCAAAGAACAAAATATGGGAGGGAATACAATAGAAAATAAGATTGGAGACAAACAGTTAAGTTATCAATGCCAGGCTAAGGTATTTGACATCTTTCAGAAGTTTCAGGGACAAGGCAAGGTCATTTCTCAGAGCTCTGTCTTAGGATGACTGAATGGGCATCAGTTTATGGGGCGACTTGAGAATGGTGTTCCTTGGAGGTCTTGAAAAAATCTAGACAAGCAATATAGATGTCCATGGAAGGGGATAACTGAAGCGATGGGGATAGCTAAATTCTCCAAAAAAGGGAGAGAGTTGTGAAGAATCTTGGGAGAATGCTGACAATTTGAGGGTGGTGGTAGGAGGAGAATAGCTACAGTAAAGAACAAAAAGAGCAATCAAAAAGGAAGGAAAAAAACCAGAGATCATTGCATTAAGGAAGTCCAAGTTAGAGGAGTCAGTTAAAAGGAGACTGTGGTAACTAGCTAACATATTTCTGAAGGTGAGAATAGGCAATTGAATTTGGCAATTAAAAGCCACTGGTGATTTTAAATAGAATAGCTATAATAGAAAGATGAAGACCAAAACTATATTTTCCAGAGTTCAGGAGTGAGTGGAAGAGGGGAAGAAGGATACTCAGCCCTTTTAAATATTAAAAAATGTTAATAAAAACAGAATGATAGATCATGATTTGATAGACTTTATGGGTTGAGGGAAGGTTTTTTTGCTTTTTGTAAGAGACAGGAGCTCATTTAAGATAATAAAAGGAGCCAGAGGGAAGAGGAGATGAGAAGAGATGGGGTCAAAGACACAAGACCAGGCTAACTTGGAAAATCAGAGGACCTTCATTTTCTGAGAGAGAAAGGAAGGAGAGAATCAAAAGGACAGAGACATTTTAAGGTAGATAAGAGGGAAGTTAAGAAATTTCATTCATGCAACAAATAAGTATTAAGGGCCCATTAAAGCCAAGTACTCTTGCAGGTCAGAAAATATAGGTGAACAAAACAGAACAGATCCCTACCCTTCTGGTGCTTATATGGGTTCATCCCCTTATTCTCGATAAAACACAAAGTGAGAATAGAGATTGTGCTGCGAACTTAAGGAGAGGGCAAACTGTTAGGACTAGAATGTAATAAAATTATCTTCAAAATATTTAAAATCACAAACAAACAAAACAGAATTGGCCTGGAGCTGAGTAGGACCAGTGAACCGTGATAAATTCTAAGGACATTTACACTCTCACATACATAAGTCATCACAATGTACACTTAATCTTACAGTTTTTTCTGTCAGTTATACCTCAATAAAGCTGGAAAAAAAAACTTGATTATAATGGTCTTAAGTGTGTGTTTGATTTTTTTGTTTCATTTTCCTGTAAATGTAAACCATATATAAATATGCTCATTAAAAATAATGGAAGAAAAGAGAAGTATGTAAAATCCAAAATGAGAGACCCTTTCTTCCTTCATGTCCGTCTACTTCCCTCCTCCTTTCTTCCCCTCTCGAAGATAACCACTTTAACATTTGCTGTTTAGAAGAGGACGAGAAAAAAATAAACAACAAATCTCTATTCTAGTTGCTGTATGTGGGACGCGGCCTCAGCATGGCCGGACAAGCGGTGCGTCGGTGCGCGCCCAGGATCCCTACCCTGGCCTCCAGTAGCGGAGCGCGGGCACTTAACCGCTAAGCCACGGGGCCGGCCCTAAAATTAGATATTTTTTAAAAAGCTCTTTCAGTGTGAATGCCACCAATTTCCAGGTAGGATTACCCTGATTTTCAAATAATTTTTTATTATAATTTCTCAAAACCACCCTTCTCAGGTCATTCTGAGTAGCTCACCTGATTGTAGTGATGCATGTTCTTGGCTTCACTTCCCCAATCATAAGCTCTGAATTCATCAGATCTGTAAAGCTGAAATAAATGTTTTTTAGTAAAAGTATATTCAGAGTAAGAATCATGATTGCTAACAGCAAATCTTAGAAAAACACTGTACACTGGGGAGAAAATAAGGCTTTTGGATCCACCTGAAGTATATAAATACATTTTTGTCACTATGAAAAGCATGGTAAACTGGAGGGAAGCAATGGTCTCCTTTGGGTGGAAGGAAGAGCTAACGGAAAACCCACACTCATTAGGGGAAGTCAAATCTCAGATGCTTCTCTCTCTGGAAAGACTCAGCTCTCTTGAGGCTTTCCCAATTTACCTCTTGCTTCATCTCAAAGCCTATTTTACAAGCTCTGACTTAAGATGGCGCTCATTTATGTTGCCTACTTGGTCTGCATCATACTTTGTCCTTTCTCTTAAAATCCAGGGAAATCAAAGCATAAAGATGGTGACAAGGACAAAATGGAAGCCAGCTGCTAAGTTTCTTAGAGAAGGCCTGTTAACTCTGTCCTTTCATATATAACGAAAGCCAGGATTGGAGTGGTTTTCCATGACAAAGACACTACCTGCTTTATGTGCAGGATGTTCTGTACTGACGATCCAGTGGGAGCATGTGACATGTACACATCCATTCGACTCTGAAGGGAAATAAAACACATGTTACAGCAATAATCTCCTGATGAAATAAATTATGCCTTTCGGAAGCAGAGAACAATTATGCTAAGAATTAATAAACAAATGTTGGGGTGTTGAAAATGGTGGGACAGAATCATCTAGATTAATAGAAATTCACATCAGACACTTGCATGTGAGTGAACTGACTAGTTGCATGGGTTGCTTCAGAGCAAACCTGAACCAGCTCTGAAGCTGTGGGATAACTTGCTTATTTTGAAGTAGAAGAAGCAACAATGGACATCGTGGAGCAAAGCAACTGGGAAAGGTGCTACTGCAAGTGGGGGTGGGGGTTGGGGGTGAGTGCACGTGCACGGACGTGCACTGTCACATATCAGGAGATCAGAAAACCTGAATTTCAGGCCCTAACTTTGCTAATTATAAGCTTTGTGACTTTGAGCAAGTTATTTAACATCGCTGAGTTTCTGTTTTTTCGTCTATTAAATGAACCTACTAAAAATCATACTACCAACTTGCTGGGCTCTTGTGAGGACAAAATAAAATATTGCAAGAGAAAAGCTGAAAACCAATGACTTCCATATGCACTGTACTTCAATCTTTGTAAACATTACAGAGATGAAAAATTATAGGGATACTGCAGCAGTCATACTTCTATGTCTCAGAATATAATGAAACTAATCAAGGAAATTACTAACAATCTTTACTTTTGAATAAGCAGGCTTTGAACAATGGTGCCTCATGGTTTTCAGTCTAACACAACTTAGCCTCTGAAAGAACAGGGGCGGGGTGAGCTGGTGGAGTAAATTATCTTGGGACTACCTTCACTATAACAGTCGTATAGGCTGCCATTTGGAATAGCAGAGATAACTATTCAGCCACACTAGTCTGCAAATGTAAATTCCTCCTCCTCCTCATTGAATTCTCAATAACAGGAAACAAAGAGTTGATAAAACAGGACTGCTGCTTCTTCATAGTAAAGGGATTCCATCTCTATTCCATTCTGTCTTGTATTTTTCAGGGTAAGTGGTGAGTTTTATTTGAGGCCAAAGTGAGGTCAACAAGCAAAGGCACACATGAAATGAGTTAAATGCTTGTATGTGCTTCTCATCTTTTCTGGGATTTTATTTTTGAATGCACTGTATTAATTGTAAATTCAAATTAACTGTAGTTAAGTGGTGGCTGATTACGAACACTTGAAACTACCACTCATTGTGGAACATCAATTCTCCTAAGTTTGACCAGGAATGGAAGGATGAAGTTGTCTTTTCCCTTCCTCAGTCCTCACATTCATGGTCTATTCAATACCTAATCTTCTAGCATAGCAAATCCTCACCTTTCAGCATTTAGAATATCACATGAATTTACGCAGTATAATTGATTCATCAAAATGAATCAAAGGAAAGCTGTAAGTCCTTAAAACATCAAATGGTCCCATAATCATTATACATACCACATTCATATTTTTCTTGTTGGATCCACCCCATAAGGACATAAACTCGTTACATATCACCCAGAGTATTTTATTGTTGCAGATTTTTGTAGAAGGTACCTTCCCTGTCTTATCTTCTAAAAACAAACCTTTGGTACCAAACATACCCTGTAAAAATAAAAAATAATTATCGTTTGAAGAACCATTTTCTGACTTCTTGACATTCCCTTCATCCCAGGAGTGAGGATTCTGGGGGATATATTTGTATTTGTGTTTGCTATTTTGGTCAAATAATTCAGGAAAAGTTATTAATTATGAATCCAGCTCTACCCAGGGAAGATCGTCAAACATAATTTACAAGGAGATTGCAGTAAGGACCCTCAACCCTAAATTATCTCCTCCATTGTGAAGCTCCCCTGTATTCTGTCCGGTCATTGATGTCCAATATTTCTTATTTCTCATTAATTGGAAAGAAAAATAGAACAGTTTCTCCATAAGGTCAAATATTTCCTTGAGTGGGAAGAAAAAGCAGAGTCTTCTCTAGTTTTCATGTGCACATCATCTTTCTAGTAGTGTCCCAGATTATCCAGCTCTGAAGCTGAAAAGTCAAGAATGGTGTACTAAAAGGAGGGTGCCACTCAACAGACAAAAATTTATGATGTCATGGAAGGCAGCATGGTTAAAATTTCTAGGACTTGGGAAAGTAAGCTTGGGAGGGGGTCTCTGGTGGGAAGCCTGGAGCTTCTGGGGGCAACAGATGTTATGAAATAATGGGAAGGGTTGGGAATGGGACTTAAAGTGATAGCAAACTTGACAGTAGGAGATATAAAACTGAGATAACAAGGACCAGTATTTGTCTTGGACGCAACCTATGTAGGCAGAGCAATATATATGCAAAACTGGGGTATTTAGAGATAGATGTGTCCATCTCTGAATTTAACTAAGCTGGTTGTCTGCTCAACTTTGCCCAAATACAGAACACATTTAAAACTAACTGATGTCAAACACTTTGAAGCAGAACTGGCAACCACATAAAAGGGAAGTTATATCACTTGAGCTTACAGTAAACAATACAATAAAACCAGAATCAAACCAATCATTAGGCCCTATAGAAATTCCTCCTTGTGTTAGGTCACAGATCTCTTTTCATTTGCACCACTCCACGCCAAACCAGGGCTTCATCTTGGATATGAATTACTGTGATACCCTAATCACAGTAGGTGATTGGGATCTCCTTGACTTCATTTTGGCTCAAATACATTTTATCCTTCACCCCAAATTTAAAGGGCAATCTTGGTAAAATACTATGTTCATTGTGGCAGAGAAATTTTTAGAGAAACAAAAAGCAAAGTGGGGAAAAAACCCTTTCATTGGATAAAATCCCGAACCCACAATTGGCAATAAAATTACTTTTCCAACCCTTGGAAAATAATCAATAAATATTTGAATGAATAAGTGAGCTGTAAGACATTTAGGCTTTAGAATCTTAGCTTTAGTAAATTAGAACAAGCTCCCACATGGGAAGCAGTATATTATTCAGGCTTACCTAACATCAAAATCAAGGATGTCAGTAATCAAATGTAACTCAAAAAACGTCTTCCATGTGGACATTGTAATTTCATTGACCTTCCCAGTGGAACGAGAATGGAACCAGGACCTTATACAGGCCTTATACACACATAGAGCTCAGCTCAGCTAGAGATTCTGATATATACTCAGCTCAGCTAATGACTGAGTGTAATAAAGCGTATATGGGAACCATAGACAATGTGGTACACTCACAATGCACATGGACACACACACATGCAAGCACACGGTTGCAGAATTTGGCTTCTACAGATTTCATCTAAATTTCCCTTTTACTTCATAATAGACTTTAAAATAATAAGGATCTATGATCCAAAATGAGATCCTCAGATACATTTTGGTGAAAGGAGGAGCCTACCTTGATTATGGAATTTGGAAGTAGAAAAAAACTGGTAAAAATGCCTGTGGGATATTTGAATGAGATCACAGGACCCAAGGCGAAATTCATTTTGATTCTTTGTGCCAGTTCAGGCATGGTGGAAAAGGCTACAAACCCTGAGAGAAAAGGAGACAAGACAATCTTGTAAAAATTAGAAATACTTAGCCATTGATTCTACTAACAGAAGTGGGACTCTTCATTTTAATCCTTCTGTTGCAATGATCTAGGGGATGAACATGGAAACTCTTTTGAGCTGTTCTGCAAAGATAATCTGCCTTCGGTCCTCTCTACTCTCAAGTCTCCATTTTCCCCTTATTCTGGACAATTTAACTTGGTTGGGGGAATTGAGGGATAAGCAGCTGAATCAATTACTGCTCATCGAACTGTGGACAACCTCACTTGCCAATCATGGGGTAAACGCTGGCAATGTTGTCATTTTACCCCCAACTCTGAGATTCCAGAATCAGTCCAAGAGCCTCCAGAAGTAAATAACTAGTTCATGGGAGGTAAACCAATCGGTTCTTTCTGCAGTATCATCCAGTCATTCCACGGTTTTTCTTTCTCGTAACGGAATGAGATTTCATTGCTCCCAGTGCTTCACTGGATGCTTACCAATTCTTCAGAATCTTCCCAAGAGGGAAAGAGCTTTCCCCTGGTCCACTGTGGTCTCAGTAAGGACCAGGTGTCTCCATTTGCTCTGATCTTTCAGCAAAAGTATTGCACCCATTTCTAGCCCTGTGATGATGAGGGTGGAGATCAGCAGCACACAGGCTATGTGGTGTATCTGTGTGTTTTGGTTCCCCAAGGTGCCTTCCTGGGCCCCCTCCACTGTGCGTGCGTGTGTGTGTGCGCGTGCGCGCGCGCTCGCGTGCTTAGCCATAGCAGAGGGTTTTTTTTTTTTTTTTGCTGAAATTCTTGTTGAAACATTGAAACCGTCTTGGCCAGAAAGAGAAGAACTGACTTGGTATTAACATAATACTTCCCCCAGAAAGTGTCTGGAAATGCATGGAGGTGAGTTTTTTAGTAACCATACTGAGTGCAGAGTCCTGTTGTCATTTAGCGGGCTGGGGCCTGAACTGCTAGAGGCCATACAAAGATTGGGTCCCTCCTACATGACAAAAATTGCTCTGCCCAAAATGCAAATAGTGCTCACTGAAAAATTTCATGCCCTAATGCAACACAGAACACTGATTATCAAATTTTCTACGTTTTTTTGCAGATCAGATATAAGAGTGTATCTAAGTCCTATTCACTTCTCTTGACCTTAATCAAGTCATTCCTTCTCGTTACAGTTTCTCCACAGTACCCAAGCACCCCGTTGGTGAAATCAAACTGACCTGGTTTGAATCTGCATTCTGTCTCTTATGTGCTAAGAGACTTTGAGCAATCCACTTAATTTCTTTGAACTTCTGTTTTCTCTTTCATGAGATAGAAATAATAGTGGTAGGATTGTTCCAAAGCTTAGAGAGAGGTATTGTGGGAAAGGTCCTGAACATAGGGTCATAAACATGGTAAATGCTCAATAAGTGTTAGCTGTGATATTATAATTATTTGTCTGTTAGTGGCAGTTTTTTGGAGGGGTCTCCTCTTAGTTCTTTGATACTCTTTTAGAATATGCTCTCCGGTGCTCACTGCCTGTTCCAAACTTGTCAGCTGCCTATCAGTATAGAGCACTGATAAATACATACTTGCTGTTGATAATGAGACCACTGTAAGAATATTTAGTGTCCTGTACTGTTTCACCCAAACTAAAATATTGCATTTTCACATAACTAATCTCTTAAAATAGGAAATTTTCGTGGAAGATCACTAACGGATTCACATTTTTAAAGGTAGGGATTTCTGTAAATTTTTATTTGGAGCTAGATTATTAATTTCTTTCCAAAAGATCTAGGAAATAATTAAGAAGTACATTTTAAAAGAGCGGGGTCTTAGACTTTTAAAAATATTTCTACACAGTATATACATTTAATTGCTATTCCATAAATATTAAATCACATGCTGAATAGATAAGCCCAGTTGGTGTATTATAGAAAGCTTTTGTATTTCAACTCCAAAAAAGTGATCATATCTTTTCAATTTGTTCAAATATAAGTATAAGCCCCTCTCTTTTATTTTTTTTAAATCCTGTGTAGGTTGTGAGGAAAGAATGCTTGATGCATACTTATCACTCTTCAGGGATATTTCATGGCATTAGGCTTTACTTTTTCAGCTCAGAGGGGATCTAGAAACTTACTTTTTGGAAATACTTCTTTGGATTTGGGGCACATGATATGCTTGGGAAATTACATCACCCTTACAAATGTGCTGTTGTGACCAGACACGGAGGGAAGATTTGCACTACATACTGACAGTCTCTGGAATTCAGGTTCACAGCCACTTAGGGCACTAGGGGTTATGTGCCTAGCAGAGGACAGAGAATTAAGGGCATTATCAATAGCAGTTACTCAGTCTGAATTTAAAGGTGAACTCTTGTAAGACTCTGACCCTTGTAAAACGTTGAGCCTAGTAAACATACCTATCGTAGTGCCAAGTGAATGTCCAACGAAATACAACTTCTCCTGACCAGTTTTGTTTACAATGAAGTCTATTATTCCTGGGAGATCATACTTGGCCATTTCATCAAAACTGCAAAATAAAACAGGGGCTTATAAACACTTAGTTTAAAACTAAGTTTGAAACTCAGAACATTTGCCCACTTATTTTTTACACACAGAATTCTGTGCTGTCCATTTATTTGATGTGTATTTCATTATTTATCCAATTACACGTATCCTATTGTAGTTTTTATTTAAGTTGCAGTAACATTGGTTTATAACATTGTATAAATTTCAGGTGTACGTCATTATACTCCTCTTGCTGCATGGATTACATCATGTTCTCATGTTCACCATACAAATACTAATTACAATCCATCACCACACACATGTGCCTAATTATCCTTTTCATCCCCCTCCCTCCTCCTATTGTAGTTTTTGCTGCATTTATATATGTGTTACTTTCTAGTAACAGGAATGATTTCAAGACTTGTGCATCCCATCTAAATTTCAGTCCTATCATTCCTCCTCTTCATTCCTTTCCTTTGTGTTTCTTTTGCTGTCCTTTCCCCGTCTGGTTTGCCTGACTCTACTTCAGACTCTCCCAGGGGACGTCAAGACTCTTAGGACCATTTAATATCCAGCTTTGGAAACAGAACTGGTTGTAAATCATGATTCAGTAACTTTCTTTAAGTTACTTAAATGCTCTGAGTTAAGTTTCCTCATCTCTGAAATTAACATGATAGTGCCTGCTATAAAGCAGGGCTGCTGCAGGGGTTGGATAATATTAAGGGAATGACTCTGGTTGCTAGTAGGCCCTGAATCAGATGTTGCTATCATCAATAGTTCTGTCCATAAGAGATATAATCAATATATACCAAAAGCCTATAGTACCAGTTCAGCCAACATGAATACAAGAGAACAAAAAGGCCTAGTCAACATATAGTTGACTCAGGTATACCTTGAGCTAGAGGCCTGTTTGTTAAAAGAACATGTGAGGAAATCTCTAGACTGGTACTCCCAAATGTAAGAGAATTGTTGTGATGCCTTCAAGTAAACGAGCTCCAAGCTCCCAGACAAAGACCAAGGACACAAAATATTTCCTGATGCTTGCCCCTGCCCAAAACCTCTAACCCTAGCAATCTATTCTACCCTTCCTCTCCTCTGAACTTGTCAGTGAGGACTGAATATTTCCTGATACGATTCTGTTCCAGCACCAGGCTTGCAAACCTACAGGGAGCTTAGGCTGAGAAAGGATGTCCATTGCAGGCATCAGCCTACCCTCTGGTGACAGCAGAAAGCACTTTCACCAAAAGAAGCAGTCAGCACATCAAAAGATTCACTCCACTGCTCACTAACAAGGTTTGAAAGAGCCCATATGGGAGTTTTTTTGAAAATGGTGTTTTATATTGTCTCAGCCACAGTTTCTCTAGGTAAAATATAGTACTTGATGCACATCAACTTTGCAATACTGATTGTCTGCCCAAGAGAAAAGACTTGAAATAGCATCACTAGAATGAACATAAGCTTCTTGAAGGCAGGGACTTAGTTGACTCTTGAATGCTCAGGGCCTAGAACAGTGCGTATAGTCGGTACTCAATAAACATTGGTTGAATGAGTGCATGCATTGGTCACAGGAATTTCCTGAGCTGTCCCTCGGGACATGCTTATAAACTACAGTATTGGATAGAACTGTATGTTAAAATGATCTTGTCAAAATGATATAATTTGGCTGTGGGAGAATCAGTGCAAATCAAAGCTTCTTGCTATTTCTCCCTTTTGAGATGTTAGTAGAAACTACAAGGAGCTCTATGACTCCAAGTATCACACATTATTATCAATATCATCCACACTATTATATCTAAAGAAATTGTCTCCAACTTTCCTCAGGACTTCTCATAGATACAGTTTACCTAAAGGCCCAGAATTCTTCTTCAGACGCTGAGAGTGTTTTGTGTCTTCTTGACCAAGTGTTCCCTCGACTGTTTCCCATCCATACGTCGTAACCCGCATCTGCTAGAAGAAATCCAAGGCTGCCATTGGCATAATTCTCAAGCCAGGAGGCGTTGTCTGCAAACAGCGCATGCTGCATATACACTACTGGCCGGGGACCTGGAGGGAGGGAGGAACGGGGGAGAGAGAGAGAGAACAGGAGATTAATTTATGATAAATAGAACATCTCAGGAACACGGCAGAAACACACTCATACGCCACTGGAAAAAGCAAAAACCAAAAACAGCATTCACTTTCCCCCTTGTCATTAGTATAGAGCATTATAATCACATAACAAGTTTCTTGATCACATACTTTGTGCCTGATATTATGCTGACTGATTGACACACATGAGCTTATTAAATTCTTACAATAACTCTGTAAAGTAGCTACTATTTTGAAGTTCCTCACTTTACAGAGGTGGAAACTGAACCTTAAGGTAGTTAAGTAACTTTCCCAAGGGGTCATCAAGCTACCAAGGTACAGAGCCAGGACTCAAGCCCAGTTCTGTTTCATGCTAAAACGTGTGCTGGTAACATCTCTGATCTATGTATTCACATTTACACACCTCCTGGGTTTGACTTGCAAAGACATGGAAGTGACCACATTTAATGGAGTCCTATGCCTCTTGCAGGGAGGAAGAGGAGGTGAGTGTAAATGGACAATCACCAGTTCTTCGTCAAGCTTCTAACAAAATCCCCAGCCTCTGCCCATTGGAGAGCATTTGAAAACTATAATTGCAAAAGCAGCTTAACATCCCTCTGCCATCTCTCAAATTCCCGCAGGAAAGAGTACTCAGGGAGCTTGGAAGAACCCAAGTGGAAGGTTCAGAAAAGGCACTATAATTTCATGGTTCGGAGTGCAGGCTCTGGACTCAGGCTGCCTGGATTTGAATCCTAGTTCTGTCACTTGCTATTTGTGTGACATTGAGCCTGTTACATAATCTGCTTTGCCTCAGTTTCATCATCTGTAAACGATAACTATTATTAGTAGTGACCTCATAGCGTTCCTGGGAGGTTTAACTGATTTAAATTAATGTAAAGCTTTTACAAGAATACACTTAACAAATGTTTTTTTAAAATTCTAAATCTTCTCCAAATTTTTCCTCTTTAAGCAGAACCTTTCCTGTAAAAGCCTTCTCCTTTTATATTTCATAGCCCCTTTTCCCCCATGCTTGGTGTTGCCAGATTTAGCAAAAAATGAAAACAAAGATTAACCAAAAGACTTAGGATGCCCTGTTAAATTTGAATTTTAGATAAACAACAAATAACTTTTTCATGTCAGTATATCCTAAAGTAGGACTTATATGCAAAACTTACTTGTTATTTATCTGAAATTCATTCAGGAAACCTTCCCCATGTCCCACTCCCATTTTTCATTCCAAGACTCTAAATTACAAATTTCTTTCTTAGAGGGAGAAAATGTGTAACACCATGATTTTAGCTGCTTCTGAATGTGGTTGCTGGGAGAGATGAAGTAGAATGAACACGGTAAATGATTTGCCACCAAGCCTTTCCAGATATTTTGCGTCCTCTTCTCTCTCCCTCCTCAGAGGCTTTTCAGCTATATTTCCCCTTTTAAAGAGTGTAATTCCTCTGCTTTTGCGTTGCTGGCTTCTCATTTTAGGATTCAAGCCTTATTAACACCATGCTCTTTCATTCCGCACACCACCTGTCCCTCAGGTCAAAGCATATGTGAATCTTAAAGTTTTCTTTCCTGAAAAAAGTTTCAGAAATGCCACTGTCATTTAATTTGATTTTTTACCCTACAGAGGGAGGCCTATTGATTCTAGTGGGGGCAGGAGAGACTCTTTTGGGGTACTCCACAGCCAACTCATACAATCCAGCAAATTTCTTTCCAACAGTGTAAAAATCCACTTTCCTGGGATACAACAATTTTCCACATGAGAGATCAGTAATGAGCTAACAAGACATAGTCTCCGCCTTTGCATGTACAGACTAACAAGCAAGCCTGGTTGTAGCCAGCAAGATCAGTCTTGCCCTTTGTATTTTTAGATTCTTGTCTGTCTTCAGAGAATTGGAAAAGAATGAGACTTCCTATTAATCATTTAAAGAGTATTTGTGTGGTGAACATGATGTAATCTATGCAGAAATAGAAGTATAATGGTGCATACCTGAAATTTATACAATGTTATAAACCAATGTTACCGCAATTAAAAAAAAAAGACTAATCCAGAATTCAAACCAATTTTGATTAATCAGTCACTCTCAATGAATAGCCAGCAGTAAATTTCAGTCATACACAGTCCACCTTCTCAGGAGAGATGCATCTTGTACCTGTGCTCTTAGCATCTCTTCGCCCATGGGGAATTCTGTTGACACTGAGTATGTACCCATCTTGAGTGGTGACTTCATACTCCTCACTGGGGTAGCCATTATAGGTGATGATTTCACTCTGCCCAGTGAAAATACAGGCATAGGTAAACATCTTCTCTGAAGGTTCAAAAGGAACTAGAAAAATGCATCTGATGTGTGCTTATTGGGGTGAATTATCCGAAATCTGTAGCCGCAGGTAACTGTAAAATTAATTTACTACATAAAGTCGATAAAAATTAAGTAGAATATTAGAAAATGTCTGCTATTGGCAAACCGTTTTTGGGTGGGGTGGGTGGAGATAATATTTAGCATTGACCCATTCTTCTGACAAAACTCTTTTTTCAAGTTAATTGTCTTTTGGACCCCTCTTGGTTTGAAGATAATAAAACCATAGTCTGGTAGAAGGCAGTCATATATATCATCCAGATCACTTAAAATATAAATTCTTAATGTTCTTAAAATATAAATTTAAAAGGGGAGGTTGTCTATAAAAAATACAATTCTGCTTTTCATTACTAAAAAGTATCATTTATTAAGCCAAAAGAGCAGATCTATCTAGCTTGACTCTTGGACAAATGTTAAAAATCACCTGTTTTATCTGTTTTCTTATTAGATATTTTCTGCTATAACAGAATATTTAATAATCTCACCACCCGTTAATCTGCTCTTTTGATAGTCTTTGGAATTTTCCATGACTTACAATATTCATCCACACTTCAGGATTCACTTCATTTTCCAAATTAAAGAATCCACCAGCATTTAACGTTCCACAAGCCAAACAGGTTGTTGTTAAAAACAGCCACATCATGAGAATGCCTGACATAAAACATTTAATAATCACAGCTTAATTTTATACATCAAAGTTGATTAATGAAATGAAAATAACACCCTAATAAAAACTTAACTAACACTCCTAGAAAGCTGAGAATATGGAAAGAAGCAAATACAGTAAGCTGACTATAAATACTATTAATCTATTTTTTCACATAGAAACTGCCTTGACCTTGTCTAGTTCTTAAAATGAAATGAATTTAATCTAGTACAGAGACTTATTTTTTTGTTTTATTTTAACCAAAATTTTTCAATTATTTTAAGTCTTTGCTCACTTGTGAGTTGCCAGAGTACCTAAAGATTCAGAGGACAAGTTTCCATACCATGGTAAATGCTAAAAGTGGAGTTTTCCTCTAGCCCAGCCCAGCATCCCCCACAACAAACAAGAAAAATTAACAACAAAGCTTCAGTCAAACATATAAGCTTTTGATCAGTGTCCAATGACGTGACTATTTCTCTTGTGGACACTCAAAGGCAAATTTTGCACATTTAAATGTGCAAACTCTCTTCCTTGGCATGGCTGAAAACCATATCTCTTCAAAGACAGGCCAACATCACCACAGTGTAGAGTGCTCATCGTTTGAGTGCTCCAGTCCAACGGCCTGAGTTAGAAGTCCAGCTTCACCACCAACAAGATTTCTGACCTTGGGCAAGTTATGTAGTAGCTTGTCTCTTGGTTTCCCTTTTGGGGGAATTAAGATAATATGGGAGCCAGGCCCTGTGGCGTAGTGGTTAAGTTTGGTGTGTTCTACTTCAGCAGCCCAGGTTCATAGGTTCAGATCCTGGACATGGACCTAGACCACTCATCAGCCATGCTGTGACAGTGACCCACATACAAAATAGAGGAGGATTTGCACAGATCTTAGTTCAGGGCAAATCTTCTTCAGCAAAAAAAAAAAAATAATAATAATAATAATAGTAATATGTAACCTACCTTATAGGGTTGTAGGGAGGATTAAGTGATATATAAAGCACAAAGCACAGTGTAAGCTCTTTCACTATTTTTCTCAATCTATGAGCAAGAGAGTAATATCAGAGAGCCTTTACTGTAACAAATTAATGACTGACTTCTAGAAATTCAGAATTTACTTTTAAAGTTAAAGAGCTTTTCATATATTTGCTATCTGCTTGAAGGTAATTTTATATTTGTAAATGTTACACAATTTAAAACAGTTTTGAAACTAATAATAGCTAATATCTATTGAGTGCTTATCTTCCACAAGGCACTGTTCTAAATGCTTCATGTATTTTATTTAAACCTCAAAGAAACTCCATGAAGTAGGTACTTTTATTATCCTCATTTTATCAATGAAAAAAACAAAGGCTTGAAGAGATTTAAGATCTGCTGTAGGTTACAGAGCCAACAAGTGACAGAGCTAGGACAGGAATGCAGGCAGACTCACTGCAGAGCCTACACCTGACTACCACTCCCGACTTGCTTTGTGGTCGTGATAAATCTTAATCTTACCTAGTTAGATGAGCTTCCCCTGCTCCAGAGGCTTCTTATTGATTAGGAACTTCTGAACTTTTGGATGTGACTTCAGACTGAAGAACAAGATATGGTTGCAGTGACAGTTAGAAGCTAGAGAGAGAAGAAATAGGAGGCCTGTGGAAATGAGGAAACTGAGAACTGTGATACACACCTAGGGAAACTTCCCAGCACATCAGGTGCCATGATGCACTTCCAGATTGGGAAATCATGGTCTACATGAAGTCAAATAACCAGTTTGACTGAATCTTTCATGTTTCCACTGAGTGTCTGTCACTGTTGGGAGGGTTCAGCAACATTTTTAAACCAGTGCATCAAATAAGGAAGTACAATGTACTCGGGATCCTAATGGACAACATCAGAGATAGTAATATCTACTTTCTCAATGCCATAGCATTTCTGTGAGGGTCAGATGAAGCAATGTATGTGAAAGTACTGATGTCAACCATGTAGTGCGTAGGGATGTGATTGTAACTAAATTGAGATGATGAGGCCATCCTGACTCCTGACTCTTGAGGCCAGAAGGGGTTTGGAACCAGCAGAGCGGCAGAGGAAATTGACCCATAGGCCAAAGAGATTCGGCCTGCTGTCTACTTTGGCGGCAGCCATTGTAGCAGCAACCATTTAACCACTACCTTAAACAAGGTAGAAACATAGGCCTGAGGAGAATGAAGACAATTTAGCTCTAAATCCCACCTGAAATAATAGATTGTGGAGGCATATATGTATCAATTTTCTATTTCACTTTGTATACCTATAGAACACTAGCAGTGACTGAATTTCTTTCATTTCCCAGCGTGAAGAGGGGTAGGGAAAGCTAAGTTGCTACCTAGCATGATAATTCGGACTTATTCTCAAACTCTTTCAAAAAAAAATATTATTCATGTTTGTCCAAATCCTAAGATTTGTTCCACTTAAATTGGAAATTTCATGCCAATTAAACAAATGTGCAGTGAAAGGAAGCACTCAGCTTGCTGGAATAGGTGGAAAGACTATGTAGCATTCCATACTCATTCAGTCCTTGATGAAAGACTCAACTATGCTTTGCCCCGATTGACAGTACAATGGCAGAAGTGTGTGGACTTGCCTGGAATCTCTCATGGATTGTGACTTGAAAAATCTCTTCTGAAAGAGCTTCAGTGGACTCTTTGGAGAGTTATAGGAAGCACAATGTTATTATTATTATTATTATTTTTTTTTCATTTTTTTTTAAAGATTTTATTTATTTTACTTTTTCCCCCCAAAGCCCCAGTGGATAGTTGTATGTCGTAGCTGCACATCCTTCTAGTCGCTGTATGTGGGACTCGGCCTCAGGATGAACGGAGAAGTGGTGCCTCGATGCGCACCCGGGATCCGAACCCGGGCCACCAGCATCGCAGCGCGCGCACTTAACCACCAAGCCACAGGGCCGGCCCTTTGTTATTATTATTAATGTTGACTTGTTGTCATGACTTCATGTGGCAACAAAGTGAATATAGTTAAACTTTTCAAGCCTTTACAGGTTGTAGACTTGTGCAAATCTCAGAAGAATTTCTACACCATTGCCTTCTCATATTCCTTCTTCAGCTTGGAAGATTATCTGAATAATGTGGGGAATTCTTCCAATTCTTTTGCTTGTGCAAATACTAAGCCATATCAAATAAAGGAAGCTAAGCTTTTCCACAATATTTTCATCACTCTTCTTATTCAAGCTTGTTATTTTAGTCAGTATCAATACGTTGAAATGAATTAAAATGAAATACATTGAAACTTCTTCCTTGGAGCTGTGAAATAAAAAATGATAGCTCCTGCTCTCTAGAAGTTCAAATTCCCCCCCCTTTTTTCCATAAACTAGACGATATTATAACTGGAAAGGGATCTTGGGAAAAATGTAGATTAAGGGGTAACCTTTTAGACACCCTGTGGTATTTCTGATATCTTAATTCAAGGATCATATTACAGTTTAATATGTTTAATGATAGCTGTCTATTCAAATATCAAGATGGCTGAAAATACATGGTTGAACTTGCTGTCTATCTGTGAAAATGATTGTTCTTTTCCTTCCAATATTCTAATACAAAATACATTTGCTATTACAATGTCACATTTTTTTTTGTTTGATTGCTTCTTTCTCCTTAAAGAAGAGAATTTGTATTTTTCTTAACACATGACTTTGTATTCAAGTGGCCATAGTCTTCCCTTGAAAACAACTCATAGTTAAAAAGATTAGGTTGTAACCAACAAAACAGAAACTAATGAGAGTTTTGGAAAAAACTGATTGGAAACCTTACACCCTTGAGACAAATTTTGCCCTGGAGTAAAAGACTTTGCACAAATAGAAACACAGAATTTGTCTCTTGCTAACTAGATAATTTATTAATCCATTATGTATCCTAAAATTCAAACAGAACTCAGTAAAGCCATAAGCATGTATTGTGTATGTGTGTAAAATGATTAATTTGCACACTATTGCTTTGGGAAAGGCATTTTAAAATTTTATTTCTTTACCCATAAAGCAAAGATAGCAATGTTCAAGATATCTATAAGAATCAATGTTGTTTTTGAGATTACACATTAGAGCGGAGCATGTTCTATTTAGTGTTAGTGTCAATGAATCTCCATTTCAGCTCCACTGTACTACACACATCTTCAAACACAGTATGGATATGATAAAGAGGCAGAAGAGAGAAATGACAAATAAAAAATTCTATCCATCATAACTGACTGAAATGTTGAAAAGAGGCCATAATAAGCAAATTTAACATACACTCATCCCAATCCAAAATGCTCAAGGGAAAGATCACTTACGTTTCAAGAGAAGTTATTACCAAAAGTGCAGGCAGTTGCCCTTGACGTTAACATCCTGGAGTGACAGGATCAGGACTGTATTGTTGGCAAAGCCCAAAGCTTTGTGAGAATGAAGAACAAGGGCCATACTGTCGAATAGGAGGAAATTTATACCATCTATTCCTCCAAGCAGGTTTACCTGCCTAACTGCTTACTTAATGGGCAGAGTTTATGTATGGTATTCTCTGCAGCTCATTTTGTATTTCAATTCCTGCAAGAGGTATATTCAAATGCAGATTTAAAAAAAAACACACACACACACACACACACACACACTTAGCCAGAAATTCAAGTTGGATCAAGTTTTAGATACAGTCTCATCAATTTGAGTAGGTAAATAAATGATGATTGGAATGTGCAAAGAGTTAACATTGGCTGTTTTGACATATGCTCCTGTTTCTTTCCCGAGTGAATTTTCTATTGTCTTAAATTACTGTTAAATCAACTTCAAATCGCCCCAGCACCTCTGAAAATGGGTAGATGGCTTTTAGAATTGCAATATCTTGATTTCTTCCCTCTCCTAAACACCATCAACATCAAAAATATTTGCTGAGTGAGAGAATAAATAAATGAATGGATGAATCTAGAAGTCCAGAGAACATTGTTTAGTTACTGAGGAATAATAATAATATTATTAATAATACTAGAAAGTTCTAAATTATTTATTATTTACTTTGTGTCAGATGTTGTACTTTGATAGGCTACCAGCTTGGCTATAAGTTCTACTGGATCTCTGCTCTTAAGTATGTTTCAAGACATCATTCTTAACATTGTTTTATAGTACATTTAACTGGAGAAAGTAAATTCATAGGAAAAATCAATCTTGTTTTGTTTTTGTACTAAATTGAAATAAGTCCACCATTATTCATAAATTGCATAGCACACTAAAACAATAAAAAATTGCTATTCAATAGTAGTTTTTCTACTATTGAACCTCCAAATTATTTTTAAACTTGGTGACCACTATGGCACAATCTGATATCTTTCACACAATCTATATTCTCTCATTTCTCCATACATTTAAAAAAACTTATAAACGCAAAATTATTCAAGTTTTTCTACAAATAACCGGATTTCTTAGGAGAGAGTTACCTTACTCTCTTCTCTATACCAGTGCAGTCCAGTAGAAAAGTAATATGAACTACATATATAATTTAAATTTTCTTATAGTCACTTTATTTTTTTAATTTTTCCCCCCAAAGCCCCAGTAGATAGTTGTATGTCATAGCTGCACATCCTTCTAGTTGCTGTACGTGGGAAGCGGCCTCAGCATTGCCCGAGAAGTGGTGCGTCGTTGCGCGCCGGGGATCCGAACCCCGGCCGCCAGCAGCGGAGCGTGTGCACTTAACCACTAAGCCATGGGGCCGGCCCTAGTCACATTTTTTGAAAGTATAAAAAAGCAGGTGAAATCAATTTTTATATTATATTTCATTAAACCAATAGATCTAAAATATTATCTCAAAATATGATCAATATTATTATTAATGAGAGATTTTCCATTCTTTCTTTTTTTTGCAATAAGTCTTGGAAATCTGATGACAGCCTGTCTTCCTTAGGACTAAACACATTTCAAGCGCTTAATAGTCACATCCAACTAGTGGCTGTGTATTGGAGAGTGCAGCTCTGTATTATCCTTCTTATCCTTGTTTTTTTCCTTTTTCTTTTTTTTTTTGAAACATTTCTTCAATTAGATTCTTTTTTTTTCATATAGTACTCATCTCAAATAAATACCTTTACATCACATATATATTAGACCTGAATTGAATATCTGCCTACCAAACTTCCTACTACTCGAATCATCAAACATTTCTTCTCAAGTGCTTGGCCTCTGCTCCCCAACTGAGCTTTGAGTCTTATTGTCCAGCAAAAAAGACATGTGCACAAATATTTAGCTACAATCCTTTATCAAAAGCACCGTATCCGTCAGTATTCTTGAGCTCAGTAAATCTAGAAAGACAACTTATTACATTGACTTTATTCCAATAACAAATACCAAACTATTACTTAAACTTGTTTTTATGACTTAACATTTACTTATGGAGAAAATGTCATTAAAATGATTACATCATCATTTAAAATCATTTACAAGTTTGACAGTTTCCGGGATCTAACTCTTCTGAGTTAGAAATCTCAGGTATGAAGACAAAGGAAAGTGCTTTTCTCACAGAAGATAGTGACTTCTCAAAATCTCTGATTCTATTAAATTTGGAAGGGAAGAGTATTCTGTTGAGG